ACTCAGAGCTTACCGTTGTATTACGAAGGGGCGGTAGCATATATTAACCACTTACTGGGTTAGGGTCTCCGCTCGCGTGCACAACGCTATGCACCTTAACTAACAAGATATTTGCCGTACAGCAAATAAAGTCGTATCGAAAACTTGTTCCTTTATGTTTAGTTCCGCTCAGTCGGAATCGCATCATATATTGATCTCTTTCTTTCTTTTTCTTTGCTAGTGTTCATTGTTTTAAGCACAAATGCTTATAAATACAAAATAAACGTAAACAAATTAAGAGATCCTTTGAATAAAAACGATATAAATTACTAGGTCAGTCTGTTGGGTTTTAGACGTCTAAACCATATTTTGTGACCATTTCTGAATCAAGTGTCATCTGCTGCGGAATTCCCACACTATTCTGTTGAATGTAGAGACGTGTCCTTATCTGACTTGATTTATGTTTTTTCTTGATACACTGAAACACGTGGTCACATTGTGACAAAAAATACATTTAATGGAGAACGAATGCCTTTTTAAAGTATTGTAAATTATTTCGGAGAAAAATTATTTATAAGAAATTCCCAATAAGTCAACTGAGTTTATAAATCAGATCAATATTATTATGTCGAATGTCTGCTCCACGCTACTTCCGGTCCAAACCGGATGTGGGTGTAACCGGTTTGTTTCTCGGACGCCGCCATCGTGTAAATTCCCCCGGTCCAATAAAGGAGTTTGTTTTTAGAATGGTATTTATCTATTCTCCGTTTTTCAGTGAAGTTTATTACTTGTAATATCACTAAAATCACATTTTCGGATTTATGAAAAAAACGTGTTTGTGGAAATGTGAACTATTGTTATAATATATACCTACCTCGTGAGGAATTATATTTTCTGCGCACACCGTTGACCAAGAAAACCGTCAAATAGGGGTAAGTAGAGAGTAGGCGTCTAGAAATTGTTATATTTTGCTGTATAATCTAATTGTTGCTAGAAATACTCTATCGTTACATCCAGTAATTAGCTACACTTAAGGGGGAGATGTAAATTGTTGGCAAACTTATTTTCTCTTTTGGAGGGTTATAATTTCTCAGAATAATTGTGAATAAACAATTAAGTAAAAAAAAAAAAAGTAATGTGAATCTTATAGAAAATAAAATAAATGCCTTTTATTGTGCCTAAACCGGGAGATTGGAGCGCGTGCGTGATAGTTCAAAAACATGTTAATAGAGGACACCAGACTTTCACCCTTGATTTTTATAGAATAATATAATTAAAATCCTATCCTAAGTAGGAGAGTTTGTAAGAAAAGGGAAACAAACTTACAAATAATTTATACCTAACAAATTAAATAGGAAGACCATCATGTTGAGTCTGGTTCTGCCAGGGGTTCTTCCCAACAGGGAGTTTTTCCTCTCCACTGTCGCTTCATGCTTGCTCATCATGGACAGGTTTTCTCAACCTGTGTTATCCAAACTGGACTTCCAGTTCCTGGTCCCTGGGTAAAGCGCTAGTATCAGCTCACGCAGTCCAGTGGATCTCCCCATAAAGCTCAGCAGACCGTCTCACTAACCAGCAGTCTACAGACTGACCAACTTCATCTATCTCCACTCCACCACTAGTTTCAGGCCTGGGGGGGGGGGACAGCCCTATTCTTTACTCCTATTCACGCATATCTATCAAAATGAAGCGCTATGTTTCCTGCCGAGGTCTGAGCGCCAAAGACAAAGTAATTGTATCCATACATTTCTCCTAATTGTCTTTTCTCTTCATGTGAGTTTTTCCAGATTGAACTATGGTTCAGCATTCTGTTATTGAAACAGCTCTGCAGTTCTCCAAAAGCTCCATGCATGTGATGGAGACGTCCTAGAGATATACATTCCTTAAAGTCCCAGATGACCTTAGTCTCCTCTGAGGCATCCTGTAACAATCAGTTCCATTTGTTTTTGAAGCAAACTCCTAAGAGATCCCTCTCTCAGCACCAGTTCCCTGAATGCTCAACAGGGTCAACGAGGTGGTCCTGCACCTCCCTGCATTTAAAGCATCAGATAGTTTTGCTGGCCCCAGTCCAAAAGCTTGGTATCCACTGTCTTAACGACTCAATAAGGCAAATTACATATACTTTTATTACATGTTTTGTAGTGTGGACTATTAGAAAAGGCTTGATGAAGTAATATTACTAGAATAGAGAACAACAGAATAATAGGTTTGAGATCAACTGACTGATTTATTAATAACTAATGGGTTATATAAACTTTTAAACAGAAGCAGAATGTTTCTATCAGTGTGCTAATATATATAGGTTTCACATGAAGGCTGATATATTCTGATCTTACTTTTTTGGCCAAAATCGACAAATTGGTCCGATATCAGCCAAAAAAAGTAGGAAAAGAAGAACATTGGAAATATATCACATGTGTTTAATCAACCTATCTTTTAATTTATAACATTCATGTTTTAAATATGTTTTTGTTTCTAAAACTGATTAGATCTTCTGTGTTAAATTGGCAGGAAAGTGGCGAATGCATGACCAGCTCCGTGCTTCTACTCCAGCTGTGGATCAAATCTACATGATGAGTGAATCAGCAGCTTGATTTGACGTTTTTACCACCACAGAATCCAAATCCTCCACACCACCCTCAGGAATTGTTACCATCACTGGAGGTCTATCTCCACTCACCTGGATGATGCAGACTACTCAGCCCTCCGCTTGTTGTCCCGCCAGTCTTTTGCTGCCAGCTAAGAACGAGAAAGGAAGGAGCAACAGGGCGCTATTCTAAGTCGTGCTCGCTCATCTTTGGAGATGAATCACAAAACGGCTGAATACAGCGTGGAATATACCGTAGGTGAAAATGATGAGAACCCTGACATAGAAAATGAATCTGATGAGAGTTCCTCTGAAACCTCCAACAGTTCTGACTCGGAGGAAGCAGCTCTACCTCCCCCCATTGAAAATGGAGTAACCTGCCAAAAGTGTGGCCGGGGACCCTTCAGGTCCGTGAAGCGCCATTTGCTTTACTGCCATGGGGTGCAGGAAAAGTTCCAGTGCATTTTGTGCAAGCTTTTCTTTTTTAGTGAGGAGACACTCCGAGAACACCACATGCCTCTGTATTTATGTCACAGCTGTGGGCAGGTACTTCCCACCAAGAACTCATTCAACCAGCACCCGTGTAGAGGAGCCAAATCCACTTTGGTGCTCTTCTGCTCTGAGTCGATGCCCAAAGCGTGCAACTTATGCAAGTCCTTTTTCTCCTCTGATAAAACTTTGTCAATCCATCTCACCAAAGTTCACTCTTCTGTTATCAAAACCAAACGCATCTTTGTTGCATGTTCATCGTCATTGACAGAAGCCGGAGATGCACAGAAGGAAGCTGTTAGCAGGAATCTCTGTGTCGACGAAGCTCCAGACACTCAGGACTCGAACGTAGACGCTCCAACAACGCTCTCTATCCTAGCCCTTTTTGAGAATGAGAGCCGACAGTGGGATCTGATGAAGCGGATGAACACAGGATGGCGCTCCAAGACCCCCTGTCCCTGCAGGCAGTGCGGCGCCATCTTCCGGCAGCCCTCCTTCGCCATCAGCCACCGCTACCTTCATCGAGGCCAGCGCTCACACCTCTGCCAGTGCGGTCGAGCTTTTAGGCACCAGCTGCATCTCCTGCGGCACTGCGTTCAGCACGCTGAGGCTTTGAGCTACATCTGCGTTGGCTGCGGGGACACTTTCTCTGGAGCAAAACATTTAACACGGCACCTAACAGGCAAACAGTGGAAACAGTCTCAGTGTGGAGAGAGGGTGAAAGAAAGTAGGGAGAGAAAGTGCAGGATGCCTTTTATGTGTATCTGCGGCCTGGTGTTTTTGAGGCCCTCGGCCTACATATGGCACCAACTAAGAAACAGAGCTGAAACAAAGAGCCATTGCAGAAATGACATATCCCATAAAAAATAAGTTCTGTTTCATTTTTTATCTAAAATACCACTATTGATCAAAAAGGGTTACAATTTGTCCATATTTGGTTTTGGTTTCTCCTGTTCTGTGGAACACAGCTCTGCATGGGTTTGAGGTTTTCATCACCTTTATAATAAAGTGCTTCATTAAAAAAACTGCAATTTTTGTGTTTTTATTTGTTAGGCTTTATATAACATTTTAATTAATATAATAAACAGAAATATTTCCACATAACAGAAAAAGGTGGATATGGTATATTAATTATTCCATGTTGAGCCACGCCTTTTAAGTTTGAAATCAGAACCAGAAAAACAAGCTTTATTTACCAAGTACTGTGATGCTTGGTTATAAAGCTTTGTTCTTTGGTGATGAGATGTTACACATAGACAAACACACAGCTGACATCAATACTGGTATGTTAAGTTACATGTTTGTTTTTTACCAAACCACAGTAGCAGATCCCCAGTAAAAAAATAGAGGTTGACCCAGGAGTTATGAGAAGAATTTAAAATGAAAATAAATGTTATTTGTTTCCTGAGGTTTCCAGACTGTTGTTTTGTGTCATTAGCTGCCTCTGTCCAGATTTTATACTGAAACAATTTTTTTCACCCAGCCTTAATCAAACCTAATTGTGTTCATTACTTCTAGATCAGATCTAAAGAAAAGCTGCTAAATCATGCAAATACTAGTCACCTCAAAGCTTTTGGTTTTGAATATTAGTTTCTTTTTCGCTATATTTGCAAAATTAAATTAACTAGTCATGTCAGCAGTGACACACAATACATGCTATTCATCTTAGAATTGTAAAACCGGTATCAGTTATTTAGTGCAATGCAGAAGTTAAATGTTTTTGTAATTCTAAATATATGAATAAATTATATTCCCCTGTTTTTAAAAAACCATTAATTAATTGGAAAATTTTGTCCATAGATCACAAATTAATCAGTAGTTGTTGGTGAGGCTCTAGAGGCAACGCCATTGAAGTGAATACTAGAAAGAATGTCTCTTAGAGTAGAAGGTTAATATGGTGCTTTGGCTAAAAATATGACAAAATGCATAATTTCTTAAAATCAGTTTTTATTAAATTAGACATAAAAAAAAGGCACAGCACATTTAAACTTCTGCTCATTTGTTTTGACCATTTAAAAAAAAAAGAACACCTACATTTCAGTTCAATATTCAGTAATATAAAACAAAAATCATTGGAAAAAAATGTTTTTCACTGCAAGTGTTTGACATAATCACCAGGTCTGCCTAAAACATGCATGGATGACATAGAAGACCACAGCAAAAGTAAAAATATATTTATTCTAACTTAACTTTGTTTTTGGCATCTGTCCAGTTTTGGATGTTTTGTTTTCTTCACACAAGATTATTTAAAGTAAACTAAGTAACATTAGGTTCCACACTCTAAAAAAAAAAAAAAAAAAGTCAACATGAGCAGCAAAGATTTAAATCAATGCATTTAAATCAAAAGTCTAGTGTATCTTTTTTGCACAATTGTCAAGAAAAGCATATGCAAATGTTTTTTTTTAAGATATTTGTTTGCTTAGATGCAATTACATTAATGGAACCCAGTGAATGTTGTTAAGTAGGAAATTAACTGAAGCTTTGTGACAAATATAACCATCTCTGATCTGTTACTTTGAGCAGTGTCTGGAAAATCAACAGTATATTTAATGTATGATTAATCAGTGACATTTCGCAGTTTTTGAGACAAAACTGATGTGATGTTATCTAGATACCAAAAAAGTAGTGAAATAGCATTTACTGTTGAAATGTTACCACCTGTGTCATTTGATAATTCATAAAAACAAAAAAAAATATCTCATAAAATCTGTTGTAAATTTTTGGATGAAATTTTTGTGTTGATATCCATTAGTTAAAGTTCTTAGGTGAGATTAAAGGTGAGAGAAATTACTAACCTGTGAGTACATTCTGTACTGCAAAGGTAACAAAAATCTTGTTTAACCAACACTTGACCACTAGGTGGAGCCATTGGCTTTCTTAAACAAAACAGGAAAAGCCCTACATGTTTAATCAGACAGCTGCTGTGTTATATTTAGTTATCTGCATGATCGTTCTGATATTTATTGAACACTAAAAATCTACTCCCACTTCTTGGGGACTAATCGATTTTTTGTCCTGCAGAACATTTTTAAATACATTAGCACAAGATGACCAGAACAAATGTAAATAGAGCCATGTAAATAACACCATAACACTTGATAAAATGTCCAAATCTAAGTGTTTGGAAATAGACATCATTGGTATAAGAATTAAACAACTTGAAAATACAGAAAAAGGTATGAGGTTTTTTTCTAAAATATAAAAAGAATATATGAAAATGACCTCAAAAATAAAATACAAATATAAAACTTTTAATTCCACAGGAATAAGGTGATAATTATTCATACAAAAATCATTTAGATTATCTAATCTCAGTTCTTTTCAATAAGTTTTCTAAGCACAATAACAAATATTTTTGCCACACATTGTAGCAGACTTCCCAATATTTTATTCAGATAATTCTACAGCAGAAAAATTCCTCTGTAATTCTTCTGCTTTAGTCACTGAGCAACGCATGCAGCACTGAACTGGATGAGATGTTTCCTCTGCTTTGTAACAGTTCTGCAGCTGCCCTGGCTGCCCCTGATCCTTGCAGCAGAAGGAAATGTTACAGACACTTTGTGAAAAAAGCATTTGCAGCCATGTCACCTGCAGAAGGAAAGGAAATGGAATGAAAAACAAAACAAACTTCTTCTATCTTCCAAAGCTGGGGTGTTCCAGTTCAGCTCAGCTACCACATCCTGCCATGTGTTATCAGCAGTTCTGTGCAACAGCAGCCTCATCGCCAGCAACTGTAAATACCGTTTACCTGATCTCCGGGTTTCTGTGACGTAGGACCTCAGACAGCAGCTCCGATGTCTGCTGGAAGCAGCGAGTCAGGTGGTCCAGCTTCTGCTCCATGAAGAGGATCCTCTGCTCCAGTTCTCTGTAAGAGTTGTTCCAGTTGGCGCTGAGGTCACACATGATCATCTGCATCTGATAAAATCAGATGTACAACACAAATATAGACGTTAATGTTTTTTTGTTTTTTTTGTGAGCAATTTCATAATAACAGTGCTTTGAGGTAAGACTATAGGACATTCTTGTTCCATTATGGATTTAATTCTTTTTTTTCTTCAAAACTCAAACTAACACCACATAATGAAGATGTGATTTTCTCATACTGTAGAAGAATGAAAATAAAAAAAAATAAAAAAAAAATAAGAAAACTGAGCTGAGGTGCATCCTGTTTCCCATGATCGTCCTTGAGATTATCATCAATTGGCATCAATTTGTAGACTTTAATCCTGTTCCTCAGGAAACACCTAGTCTGTTTTAGACATTCTCTTCCATCCATAATTAAATATGTGGGTGATTATCAGGCCTCTGCAGCTGCTGAAGGTGGAACACAATCATTTGATTTAGGTATGCTGGGAAAAAAGACATTTGAAACATACAGGATGGTGTGGTTCTGAGTAAAAGGATTAAAGACACCCATTGTACAAGATTCCCCCCCTAAAAAACACACCTGCTTATGCAAGCTCTCGCAATTGACAGTCTGTGTCAGTGGACAAACCCAGCATAAACTCAAAGGAACTGTCTGTATTGTCAAGTCAATAATCTGCAGAGGGGAACAGACACATTTCTCCAGCTTTAAAGGTTACTTTGAGCGCAGTGGCACAGAAGAAGTTCAGAACTAAGGGACTCCCCTGGACCTTGGTTGCTGTCAAACTTAAGGGATCCAGGGAGCAAGGCTTTATTGAGTCTGCAGTGCTCCAGTGCTGCTCTAATCCACCAATTAGGCTTGCATGGTAGAGCGGCCAGATGGAAGCCAGTCCTTAATAAAAGGCACATGGCAGTCTGTCTGAAATTTGCCAAAAGGCACCTGAAGGACTCTCAGACCATCAGAGATATGATCCTATAGTCTGATGAGGTAAAGATTAATTTGCCATGTATTTCAGACATTTTTTATGGATGAAACCAGACACAGATTATCAGTTGGCCAATACCATCCCTACAGAAAAGCATAGTGGTGGAGGCATCATGCAATGAGGATCGTTTCTAGGGCCAAATTTGAAAGACTAGCTGAGAATGGAAGATGATTGCAGCAGAATACAGAAACATGGATGAAACCCAGCTCCAGAAGGCTGCTGACCTCAGATTTGGGCAAATTGTTTCTTCTGTCAGATATGTCAAAGTAATGACTTCAGGACAACTCTTTGAATATTCATGAGTTTAAACCAGAATCCACATTTTTAATTAGATTGAACATCTTGGGAAGATCTAAAAAAAAACCTGCATAAATACTTGCAGTATATTGTAGTATGCATTTAAGCTAATGGATTTAAAAAAAAAAAATGAGTGAAAGAAACTTTCAATAAACATTTAGTTTACTGAAAGCTGTATTTTCAACCACTAATAAACAAAACCATTATCTGTGTTTGTAGTCTGCTTTTCTGTCTGTTTTCTTTTTGTTCCCTTTTAAATGGCTTTAGTTGTGCACCCATAACCATTACTGTTAAACAGCTTTTATTTGTTTACTGATTTCCTTGAATATTTTCCATAGAGCAAAAACATCCAGCTTTATACTGAATTATAATTTAGCCTCAATGCTTGCCTCAATGTTTAACCCTCGGTTTATTTTCCATGTAACTTGATCAAGAGGACTGTACTATCTTTACAGTGGTTACTTTTAATATCCTTGGCTCAAAAATGATTTGGACAATGATCAGAAATAAAGAACACAAGAGAAATGTGTGGTTTATTTTACTTTGATGTGAAACAGTAACTAAATGTTCCAGCTGGCATTTACCTTTGGGAGGTCCACCATCTCACTGACATAATCTCTCAGTTTTCTTTGTTTGAGGCGTAAATGTCGAAATCTGAAATAGAAAAAAAAAAGTCTTTTTTAAATCAAATCCATGTGGTAATATTTCAAACACACCACACAAAAAAACTTTGTATTATATGATTCAAAGTATAACAAAAGAGACAGAAGTGGATCAAATCAGTCATTTGTTTTCAGGAAAGCCCTTCCTTTGGATTTATTTTAAGCCAGTTATATGGTGTTTTTGGTTTAAAAGCTCCATGTAGGGATGTGGATCGCTCATCTAAAGACAGAGCGTCCTAATTTTGGACAAATACACCATTCCTGGCACAAGATGGTCCGATTTAGGAAAAGAATATGCTGACGAGTATTCCACTAATCAGCACGGAGAGGGTCATGCTGAGTTTGTTAAACAGCTGTAAAACATTGCCAGAGGCGGAAAACGGATAAATTTAGCTCCACAGATGGACGAAAGCAGAAGTACAAAGAGAGCAGATTTATGGAAACCAATAGTGCGATCGGTGCTTGGCGGCCCAGAGCATAATGAGGTGATGGAGTCTCATTACGGTAGACAGTAACTCCAGAGGTGTGGAGGTTCCTCCCGCTCCCATTCTTTCCACAGGGTGTTTATTTGTAATAGTTCAGCCCAGTTTGAAACAGGAAACACAGGCCCTATGCTAACGCAGAGTGCCCTCACACGTGTATTCCTGTTGACAGAAAAGTGGAGCTCTTAATCACTTCTGAATCTCCTGGCTTGTGTAATCCACTTGTTCTTGGTGTTTGGAGCTTCCATGTTTATAAAGAATGAAAAAACAATATGAAGTCATATCCTTCTAGAGACTTGTGTTTAATTTTTAGATAAGTGAATTTTTGGGGATGGATTTAATCTGATAATTAATCTAAACCAGACTCAGTGTGTTGACAATAAGTTAATGATCCATAAAATACACATTGCAAGGCATACAAACGCCACCCTTTTATAGCTCCTGGGCAGATTTAAGCACACGGCCACCACTCACACTCTGATGGCTTCAAGAAGACATCGCAGGTGTCTTCGGTGCTCGTTCCGGCTGCCCTTTGGCAGGTTTGCACGATGCAGCAGCCAGCATTCTCTCAGAACATTAGCAGCAGCATGCCGGATCTGAATAACCAAGCAGACAAACAATGATAAGATTATTAAGATAAAGTCTGTCAATCATTAACCAGTAAAGTGCATTGCCTTAGGATTTTTAACACCCTGAACTGTTCCACATTTGTCACGTAACAAACGCAAACCTTGATATTGGGATTTTTTTGGTGACAACACAGATTAATGGATAACTGTGAATAGTAAATACAAAAACATTTTACAGGATGTTCTTTTTTTTAACAAGCACAATTAACAGTGAGTTGTGCATATGCGCACTGTTAAACTGATTAAAAATAAGAACAAAGAGTGGATTTACCCGTAATTTGAGTAGGTAAATAAGATGAAATGCCGATGGAATGAGAGTTTTCAGTCATAGATATAAGATAACTAGATATTATGCATGAACTTAAGACAAGATGATAGATTTGCTTTTCATATTTAAATATAAATTATTAAATATATATTATCAATACACTCACAAGAAAGTCATTTTACTACTTCAATACTGTTGATGCCCTATTGTAACTTATTTGAACAGTTTTTAAAAGCTTTTTTTTTTTTTTAGTTTGTCCCTTCATTTTATTTTGACTTGTTCTTGTTTAGGCTTAGGGCTTTATTGAGTTTATTCAGGGTGCTGTATGAATGATTGTGTCTGTTGGTGTTATGTTGTTGTTGCTAGTAAAAAAAATCCCAGAGGTAGCAACCAAAGGGATGTAATAAAATGAATATGAACCTTTACTTTCTTTTTTTTTTGCCCAATAGCTTAATACTAGTCACACTTGGCAAAGAATGCCAATTTATGCTGAGATTCAGGTCTGGAAAAATCAACTAGGTTTATGTCTAACCCATTTTAATTCACTGATAAGTCCATCATCAATTCTCCAGTCCTCAGGGCCATTGTTCTGAAGCTTCACGCTGTCTGTATTTTTACACACCATAATCAAATAAATATATATTTAGGAAGAGAAGTCAGAAGTTTTATTAAGCTTTCTTAAAACATGGACACATCTAGAAGTTGTAGCACACCAGTCCCTGAGCACTGAAATTTGACACCACTAATCTAAAATATTGTAATCTATTTAGTAGAGTCTGTACACCAGGAAGCTTCCACCACATCATTTTAATGGAGGCCATTGTGTCCTTCAGGCCTGCATGACTTATTGCAGTTCTTTCAAACATTTCCAAGAATCTGGTCACTTTTTTGCTTCAGAGGCCAGACTTGAATTAATGTGAACATATTCTGACAGGTGAGCTGTGGATCTTTGCAGCTCACCACATGCTTCTTAGATCAATGCTTTACTTGCAGCAGAGTAGTGCATACGTGCCTTGAAGGGTTTGTGGTTGTGGCATACTCGTAACCTAAGCATACTTTAAACGTACACTCAACACCTTATCTCTGACTTGTCTGTGGTGTTCCTTGGCCTCCATGAGGCTGTACGTCCACATATATTATCTAAAACGCCTCTGAAAATAGAATGCACATAGGTTTGTGGGTAAGTTGAATTTAATTGCATGTGTTTTCTCTGCATTTTATTTTATGTAGAAATTGTAAACTAGTTGTTGGTAAAAAAAAGAAAAAAAAAGAAAAATTAATTAAGGATTTTGACTCTGTTACAGTCTATAAAAAAAAATGTCTATAACATATAGTAAATGTTGCTGTTGTATAATGACTTTTACATTGCAGTAAATTGCCCAATATCCTCTACAGCTTTTTCATATCTTTTAGAAAGGACATCAGTACATCTGAAGTAGCTAATAAAATCCGTATAGTCTTTCCTGTTTCATGCTTTCTTCCTTTGATGCAGATCTCAGGCAAATAGCAAAAAGTTTCTTATCTCACAAGACCAAACAGCGCAGCGTCAGGTCCTGCCACAGTCTTCCCTCTGATTCTATTTACATCCACCTTGCTTTCCCGTACAAATCTCTACTATTGCCCTGTTGTGATGTCACTTCTTCCCTGTTGCTGTAGTTATTAGTGGACCCTGTCAGTGTCGGCATCCAGATGTCTTCCCTTGTTCCCATCAGTGATTGCTCTGAAGGATGCATGAACACGCACCTAGAGACAGGATGCAGCCACCAGAGGAGAGGAAATGGTTGCATTCTCCAAACAGTGCTGCTACTGCATATGGTGAGAGGCTGTAGCTCTCCTCACAAAAACCTAAGCTCATGTTGTTTTATGATGTCACACATGTGCCTTTCTGCAAAGCAAATAAGAATGTCGGTCCCTTTAAATGAAAACTCTCACTTTCTTTTAAATCAATAACTAAAAATCTAAGAGTTAAACATCTTTGAATTCTTTGCAGGGAAGTTTCATCAAAAGCATCAATGTAAGCTCAAACTGTTTCCTGTCCTGCTCTGACCTTAACTGACAGAAGCTTCTTTCCTGTCAGAGATAAGATTATTTCCTAAGCTTCCTAACCCCAATGCCTTGAAAGAGCTCTAAAGAACACACACACACACACCCACACACATACTATCCTGTTCTAACGTGTGACATTTATTTAGGGAAGAGAAAAGAAGCAGAAACAGAATCAACATTTTGACACACAGATCCCTAAACCATAAAATGTCTCCTTTAACATGAGTAGATCTGTATAAAAATGAGGGAGATTTAGTATTTAATGACCTTCAAATTTCTGCTAAGCTTTTAAAAAGCCAGCGCTTCTTGTAAAAACCATTTAACTTTGCACGTTGCTGCAGTTTAATGCAGTTTGGTAGAATAAGGGTGACTAGAGGTCTTTTGTATAGTTATTTGCAAATAAATGAATTCTTATCAAATGAAATCACTCCTCCCTTATTAAAAACATTACCTTGTAAAAAAAAAAAAAAAAAAAAAGAACAGTTCAGGACAAGGTTTTCTTAATTTTCAGTAGCACAAAAACACACTGTTCCCATGAGGCAGCAGCTTCAGAGACATAATGTTCATTTTGATATATTATCTCACTAATAAGTCTCTTACTTTCAAACCCTGTACAGCTCCCATAGGCAGCCACTTATTATAGCTTCCAGAGTCTGTTTTTAACAGATCTTTACCAGGATTGCCTCCAGAAACTTTTCAAAGGGATGGTCAGACTTGGAGCCACATCAAAATCAAATGTTGGAATAGAATTTCGGGAGTTTTACATTTTTTCATAGTTTTAAAGGGGATGGGGGATAAATATGGCAATACATCAAAATCAACAAAACTACAAAGTCAAAGTCAAAATCAACCAACTACAAAGACAGAAACATACGTATTTCTGGCAAATATTAGCGAGATGAACACCAATAGTATGAACTTCAAAGGTTAACACTGAAGATGCTTTTCCATGAGATCAAATGGTTAATCTTTGAAGTTGAATGCAACCTTTAAGTTATTAAGGTCTTTGATCTTAATTACATTTTTCTAAAATACTAATTTTACAAAGTTGAAAACCTATATAATCAATAAAGTTACATTCAATGAATTTCATTCGGCACTAAAAAGTTTTATGCAAACGTTTACATATAAGAAGTTAAATAAAAAGAAAATAATTGTTTTAATTAAAATGTGAGACTTTTGGCCCTTAATTCAAGATTTAGTGATTAAAACAGAGAAACCCCCCCCAGAGACACACACATACCAACCCTTTCACTCCCTATTTGTGCTCAGAGGCCAGTGATCTCAAGCTGCATGTTCTATTCTCTCATACAGCCAGTGTTTCACCTTTTGCACACATCTGCTGTATTCAAAACTCACCCTTTTAGATATCTGGATGTCCATCATGAAGAAGTGGACATGCTTCTCTCCTTTGTTTAGGGCAAGTTTCTCAGTAACGATGGCCACCAGCATGGCGGTGCAGGCTACACCCTGGAACCCAAAAGACACACGGAAATTAGCTCAAGCCTCTCCAGAGATCCTCGGTTAACATTTCAAGTGGTTTGGAATGCTACCCTCAAAGGAAAGCAGCTGTATTAAAAGTCATGTTGATCTTCATATCTTAATGGCTACTAATAAAACAAGTTATATTTATAAAAAAGGAAAGTTCTGCAGCCAAACAGAGCTATAAGACTATAATTGTGTGGTTTCCTCTGAGAATAACTTACTATTACTGGACAGGGAACTGCAGACTTTTCCAAAAATCCATCCACAAACACAACAAACACAAAAAGATGTAAAACAGAACACATGCATAAAACTGCATTGAGATCATGTCCACAATAGTTAAGAAGAGTTAACCAACTTTTACCTTTTGTTCTGCGTTTTGGTTTGCAACAGAAAGAGAGAGAAGGAGAAAGACATGCAAAACATGAGCATAAGAAAGATTCAGGCAGGGGGATGTCTTTTCTTCACTTTAGCAAGCCACCAAATATCCATCATTACATCATCTGTGAAACCCTGGAGGTACAAACTCTTTCCTGGGATCCATCTACACACAGGAATAAGTCGTACACACAAATGTCAACCCCTGGAAACAGCTGCAGACTGATTTCTAGCAGATTGTTGAGCAGAGTGGCTTCCAGCTATAATACAGGTGTGAGCATCACTACCTTGTAGCTCCCTTAAATTCCCTGATGGGAGTTGGAATTTTATTTTTTATTTTTCCAAACTGTGGGCACAGGTTTGAACGCCCTGCTGTTGTTGTGGTGCCAAATGCAATAAACCACCCAAAAATGGATATGGTGGAAAGTTTTCCCTTTTAGTTCTCCCTTATAAAACAAGGGAGATGGAGAAATATGGAGATACAGAGTGGTTGTTTTCCACAACCACCACAGATACAGATATGCACTGGTTTTTCAAAATCTGCCACACCTCATCCTGAGTGACCTATATAGTCTGTCTTGCTGTAATTCATCCTTTTTTTTTATCACACCTTACCTTTCAGTATTTGTTTCAGACTGAGCCCTTGCCCTCGTTCTCAGCATCACAGTACAGAAGGTACTGAAATCCATTATACCTTTTCACATTTTGGTATATTCAAGAGTACACAGTAGTGCATAATTGCACTTTGAATGAAAAATTATAATTTTCAAGTGACTTCACAGATAAATCTGAAAAGAGGGGTCTACATATTTATTCACCCTGCTCTGATGTCCCAGAACCAGTGCAGCTAATTGTTTTAAAACCTCATATGCATAATTTAATTTCCGTGTAAATACAGATTTTCTGTAATTAAAAGTTACATGGACAAGAAGCACAGGCAAAATTGTAGGGAATAAAGGCGTGGAGAAGTGTAAGACACATTTAGGTTATAAATAAATATTTTTTATATTTTTTTAACAGATTCGCCATTCAGTCTAGCATCCAGATAAAAAAGTATGGTGCAACAAAAAGCTACCAGGCCTTGGAAATCTAAAGTCATAGCCTCAAACATCAGAGCATTAATCAAAGAAACAAAATGCTATTATACCGAGACTCTTTTGACTTCACACTAAATTTTAATAGTTATGTGTGGCAACAGACCAACACATCACATCAATCTGGACATAAAATCCCACTTTAAACCATGTGGAGACGCTTTTCATTTGAGTTTCTTTGGAGTTGATGAGTAAAGTCGTGGAGCCTAGAGGAAGCCCAGACTGAAATACAATGGATAATTTGTAGCAGGAATTTATGGTTACAAAAACTCCATCTAAAACTGAGTAGATTAGATTAATAGTCATTCAACTAAGAACACCAAATTGATTTCACCTCCGACTTTGAATAAGTTAAATAATTAACTACAGCTCCAGTTCTAGTTAATCATACAGGATATATTATTTCAACACCTGTTCTTCCTTTTAACCACTGATCTTGCCTGTTCCCATCTGATCTGTTGGGAACAGGCAAGAAAAAGAATTGATTAATTTTCTCCTTTTAGATGTTGATATTTGAGAAAAGGCATGTTACAAAAAACATTGTTTTCAACCTAATTACAAGATCTAAAGAAAACTTACTGTTCCCATAAGTGTATTTCTGTTGCAAAACTTTAGATCATATCACCCTATTTACATACATATCTTATACCGGAGGTTCCAAAGGATCTACTTGCGGCTCCGGGCTATCCAGAGTTGTTAATTTTTTGTATGTTAGCATGTAAAAGCAAAATATATTGAAAGAAGATGGCTGGCAGAGTTCAACTTAAAAACTGAAACAGCTGAATAAAAGAAGGCTTATTTCTATGTGTTATCAGGTTGATTATCTCGTGAAAGCAAAGTTCTCAAATGTTTCATACTTAATAAATAGAGAAGTGACACAAAGGTACGACACTTTAATGCATCAAGTTTTTCAAGTCAAACATTAACTTCTGCTTTTCTGTAACAGATAGATATATATAGGTACTAATCCCCAAGAGAACCCAAAACAGCCACCTGGTATGAAGCACAACACCATTCCTCAACAGAATATGAAGCTATTTACCATGACACCGGTAAAGAGACACACCCCCTTGCCACAGCTGGTCTTGGGTGCAACATCTCCATAGCCCACAGTGAGGAATGTGATGGCAATGAGCCACAGGGCTGTGTCCATTTGTCCCGTCGTCAGGGCCTCGGTTCGTCTGCGGGGATGGGGGTGGGGCGACAGATGAATAGACAGATGAAATCAAGGCCTGTCAGGAAAACTTCATAAATTATATTATAATAAAAGAACATTAATACTTCAAGACCTTTGGAAGGAAGGCACATTTTGTAATGGATGTGAAATTTCAGTCGAAGTTGAACCAAAAATGAGGAGTATTTACACATGGACACAGAGCTGGTGAATATTTACGGAATGAGAAACGAGATGTCATGATCTGCCCTAATGGCTGACCTTAATTACTCCATTCACCTGCCGTTCCCTGCCCGTTCTCTAATCATCACTCATCCTATGCACCTGCGCCTACTGTTTACATGTTGCTCAGCCCAGCTATCGGGGCCATATCATTGCTTTTTTCATGTTAGATGTTAGTTATGTTTGTTGCATAGTTACCCTGAGCATGAGTCCTGGATTTAAGAACTGTCCCTGTCTGATCTGTTTTCCCTGACATGGATCGGATCCCTGCCTTACTCAGAGAGGATGGACTGAACTGTTAAACCAGATAAGTGACTCACAAAGATGATTATCTTCCGTCAGTTGATCATAATCACTTACCTGTTTTTCCCACATCCAGAATGCCAGTGATGTGTTGCACCCCACCCCCCTGCTGCCGCTGCAGTACACAGATCCACAGCTCTGCACTTCAGTTCTGTTATGTTTTTGTTTTAATAAACATTTTGAACTTTCCCACTGCCTGTCTCACCTTGAATACAGGGTCGATCTGCCCTCTATCATGACACTTAATCGTATAGTTCCTGTCAGTGGTGGACAACCATTAAGGACTATTTGAATGAATATAGTGAAAAAGAAAATATTTTGAAGCTGCAAAGGTGTGCTCAGGGCAACCACATTGATCATTATTACAGCCCACTTTGTGGGTTTTTAGAGCCATTTGAATCAATGCAAGTTGTGCAAGACACAGTCCACTAACTCAACCCTCCTATCAGTGTTGGAATGGGACTATAACATTATAAACTCAAAAAACATTATAAAGAACAAATACACACCCACTCCAAATCTGATTACTATGGTGCGAAAGAGCAGCTATCAATACAGTTACTCCCTTGGTTCTGTGGGATTATGAAAAAAACGATTTGCGTTAAATTTATTTTCAGTTCTTAGGTTACTGTCTTTTAAGTAAACAACTGTTTGTATCTATTGCTTTTGTTAAAGGTATAATATGAGTTTCACAGCAGAGGGTGCTTAGAGCAGTGTGTACCACTTGCTGATACTCTGGCCAGCGGAAGAAGTTGACCAGTTTGTTGTGAAGCAGTTTAGAGTGAAAGCACCAAGCATCTCCTATAACCTGCCACAGAGTCCTGCAATGGATCAGGTACCCGGTGAGTACCCGTATAAACAACATACATCTACAGATAGAAAAAAAACATACATATTATTTCACGGGTATATATGGACAAAATGTGGGTATCGTATACCCCTTTTACACTGGCCAAAAACCCTCTTTAAATAATCAGTTTTTAGTGGCAGTGGGAACAGCTCACTGAACCATGTCTACCCGGATCAAACGACTTGGCAAGCGACCCGCGTTAAAATTCACCTCGCTTTGATCGGCATACAGTGGGAACACCTGACCTGGGTTGACCCGCTAAATTACCTGACCCTTATGAATGCAACGTACGGATGTCAACACACTGCGGCAGTTGCTTTTGAAGTAGCTAACACAACTCAGTTTACATTCGATAAGTATTGGGACAGATAAAAGAACACTAATAATAAAGAATACTGACTATGCTCTGGCCCCGTCAATGTTGCTCTCCATTACTTACTTCCCTGATTCCCATTGCTTTTCGGTCAAATAGGAAAACGGCCAAGATCCGATTGTGTCACAGCTGGGTGGAGAATTTTGAGGACCCAAATGCATAGATCAGGAGGCAAAGGTCTTAAAGATTTAATAAGGCAACAGAGGCAAAAATACAAGGAACCAAAAAACCGGAAAACATTAGGGGAAAAAAAAACTCACGTGGGGAGCCAGAGATGAGGAAGCAGTAGAACAACAACAAAGAACCAGCAAGCAGAGAATGAACATTAGGTGTATAAATGGGAGACTGAACAAAGACCAGGCTAATCAACAGATTGGGTGCAGGTGTGGACAGAGGAGTCTAGAAGGGAGCTAGGGGAAAAAGAGCCTGACATAAGAGAGCAGTAGAGGGCAAACAATACCCATGAACTCAATTGCAATCAAAAATAACTAGAATAACACAAATTAGAAATGAAACTAGAAAAGTTGACAGTCATGACAGATTGTTTTAGTGGGAAAGGGGCTATAGAGTTACAGCATGAATGAAACTTTATACTTTTTAAAAATTCCTTGTTATTAACTCTACACCTTAAAAAATAAATAGATATGAGAATATCCAGATAAGAGTAATTTTTTCAAGCAACGAGGCAAACCTTCTTTTTTGGCCAATTTACAGCTGTTAATCTGTGAGTGCCGCTCGCACTGGATGAGAGTGTGAGGCAATTTCTTTTCTGCCTCTGTTATTATAAACAGCTGTGGGTACACTTTGTGATCCCATGTCGGGTCGCACTTAATTATTTATGGGTCCATGCAGTTCCGGCCATGTTTTAAATGAGGACAATCGCAGGTAATGGGTCAAGTCTCGGTTCTAAACTCTACGGGTACGGGAGGTCCCAGGTTTTAAACGGGAATAATTGCGGGCAACGGGTCAGGTCTCGGTTCTAATCACTATGGGTGTGGGCAGTCCCAGGTATTCAATGGGGATAATTGTGGGTAATCGGTTGAGTCGTGGTTCTGATCTCTACAGTTTTGAAAATCAGACATGTGCAGAACTCTGACCTCCTGTATGTTTTGCAGGTGAGCAGGTTGATTAATGATATATGCATGGTAACTATCAGTAGAAGTATCTCATGAGTGCTGTGGGGCAAAGCAGAGGTAAAGCTAGCAGGTAAGAGCACACATATAAGCATTTGGGAAGATGATTAATGTGGTGGAAATGGCGGACTTGTCACCGAGTTGGTTTGTGATTGAAGAGAAAGAAGCTAATAACTGAGGCATGCACCTACTATCAGTAAAAAAGAATGAGTTTATTTTAAAGCAAGTAAAAGAGGTCATGTCATGATGACCTCAAGTTACACTGAACTGTTGAGCCAAAATGTGGAGCCAAGTTGAGCATCAGGCTAGGCTACGTACGTATCAAAAGATTGGTTCGGTACATTCTATTGATTTCGTAAAGATGGAATAGAATGGAAATAATAAGGACTGTTGAAGTGCTACTGTTTGATCATTAGAATGCACAGTATAGAAGTATTGTTATTTTTATTGTAAAGCTAGGGAATCTTGAGTTTGGTGTTAGTTTAGTTTAAGTTTTGACCACAATGCCAAAAGGAAAAGCCAATCACTTCCTAAATGAATCCTTTCTTTCATTCGGTATTGTTCATTCTTTACAAGTGAAAATGAAGTATTAATATTTTGTTAAAAAGAAAAAGATCAATTAGCTCTGTCGGCCCCACACATATTGAACCGATGCTCCAGCAGTTGGATTTTAAATTGTGTTTTTTGGCTGTATCGTTAGGTTTACAATTTACGTTTTCAAGTAAGCCCACCTTTTAAAGCTGTTTTTACAGTGAGTTTTAGAGGTGAAATAAATCTCAGTTTCAAATGCAATGTCTGATATTTTCTTTATTTTGTCATGAATCAAGGTTTAACTTTCTACATATTAGTTATCTTTTTATTTAAGCCAATGAGTGCAGTGTTTTTCAGTTGTTAAATGTTAAACATCATAGTTTATATGTGGACATTGCCTGATTTATCTGTTTTTCTATAGTTTATCTTGATTTACTTCTTTGTCCTTTTTACATCTGCTATTTTATGTGTAGATGCAATTTAAATTCACACACATGAAATAAATGTTGTGTCAAGGATGCAGCTTACATTCTCTGTCAAACCTCATTAAGGTCTTGACCTGGTCTCTGCCACATTAACTTCACAAATTTACAGCAGCATTGCTTTTTTTTTTTTTTTTTTTTTTTTTTTTTAATGTTTTGAATACTTCCATTAGCCGTCATTAGTATTTCAAGTTCCATTAGTGAAAAATACAGACTTTGAGGTTCCTTAATTCATCCCACTATCAGGGTTGATTATTTTATATGGCTTCCATTTATGAGGGCCTCTTCTAAACATAGGCTGATGCTGAAATCAGCTAAGATAACTAACAGTTGAATTACTTTGTTGATACCACCTGTTCCGAAAAAGAAAATTCTGAATATTATAGAGCAAAATAGGTTTACTCAGGATATCTGCTCTCTACTCAGACTAAGTTAAGCCTGCCTTCAGGAAAGGGCACAAGTGGTACATAGATATTTTAATATTCTGTTTTGGTCATATTGTTAATCAATTTTCCTAATTTCTAAATATATGCTTTAAACAATAATGTCACAATATTTGCTGTGGAACAAATAATCATTTCCATGGACTGCCGTTTTTATGTCTCTACTATGAAGCTATTAAATTAGCCAAATGGAGTAGAGTCTGATGCTCTTAAACCACAATAAATGGAAGGAATGCTGTAAAGAATAGATTTATTCTTTCCACATGAGTGTGGATAAAAAGTCTGGATGAGACTATATCTGTCTTCTGTAAGTAGGTAGTTGCAAGATTGGCTGGTGTAACACTTCATGATGTGAAGATTTAGCGGGAACAGAAGCTGTCATTTTCAAACTCTAATATTACTTTGGACAAACAAAACACTTAGTCTAAGTCTGGGTTAGACCTATCATTAGGCTTTAAATGTACAAATGACCTCACCTAACAGGTTGCAGGGGATAATTTCATTTGGTTTCCTCACAGAACTTAAAATAAAAACTATTACATCACGAATTGGAAAGCCACAATGAATAAAATAAAACTAATTACAAATTCAATTTATGGAGGAGGTCTGTTAAATTAGTTAGCAATAAAAAATCAGAGTGCTTAAGCAAAAGGGAAACTTAGAATAAAATACTGTTTTCTAGAGCTGTATCTAATGAAAACTAATATGCTTCTAAAATGTAATCAAAAGTATTCTTGCAAAGCAACACACCAGAGCCAATTGTTGGTCCGATATAGATGAATGCACCATGAAATGTTGTTTTAACTAATTAATTATTTAACTTAAGAATAGTCATAAATGAATAAAAAAATAAAATAAAAATTTGATTACATTAATAGTAGTGAATTAAATATTTATATATGATAGGTTAAAAAAAGTAATACACGGGAGTCCTTCAAAAAAGGCAAAAAGAAGGCTGCATTTGTCAGCCCCATAACGAGGAGTCTTCCTAAAAGGCTCCTTTGGAATACTGCAAAAAGGTAAGGACATTTAAGCCAAAATGGAAGTGTCATCATGATAAGTATGTATAGTGCTGACAGTAAGGAGCTAGGAAGAGGAGGCAGGATGCTTCTTATTGCCAGTTCAGTTAGCATAGGGACCTCCCGATGTTCAGCATTATTTATGTCTTTCCATCATGAATTGGCGCCCGTAAGGCTGGAAACTATCGGATTCACCACACCAGTCTGGAGCTCCTTTAAAGGCTAAAATGGTCTGCAGTTTTCCAAATTTCAGTTTGTGAAAAAAAAAATTTAAAGTATGTATCACTTTCCCCCTATTTTATGTTTTGTCTTGTTCTGTCATGTAAAAAAAAAAAAAAAAAAAAAAAAAAGCACTTACCGGTAAGTAAAAAATAGCAGTTTGAGCATTTATTAAAAAATGTGAACATCCAAACCATGATTGTAAGTATTTTTGGTTTTCAAATTTTAGTGTTTTTTAAAAAACTTTTGTATTTTGGCTTTATGGTTGTAGAATCTATGGTGTTTGGTTTTGTAGGTTAGATCTGAACAATTTTAGACCCTGGTAAAGAACAGCTCATTTGTATGCAATGACAATAATTTCGGCAGAAGGATTACTTTCTTTTAATTAACGTTAGTATTACTAACTTGCCTCATATGACTCTCCTGTATATTTGCAGGAAAGAATAGATTTTTATCTAAAAGAAACAATCTGCTATGTAAACAGAAGCTTCTTGCGAACATATTAAAATAAGAAATTTTTACAGAATAAAGTTTTACATGTGATCAGGTGCAGACATGTTTGTACATCCAGATCTTCAAAGAAGGTCCAATGTGATTTGAAATTGCAATGCAGCAGCTAGCATGTGCAAACCCCTTTTTGCACGCACAAATCTGAATCTCAATTTTAGTTCCTTTTTTAGCACTTCTGAAAGTCTGATTCTGTGCACAAGTAAACACATTACAACCTTAAAAAAATAACAATTGCAAAATAATAAATAGAGCTGGAGGGCACAAATTGATGCTGCAGGATGGCAGATAATCTTTATAGAGTCAAGCCAAGATGATTCTTTTTTTTTTTTCTTTTATTGGAGGAAACAATTGTCCCACTCTACCTACATAAATCAAAATAAAAATCCTCTGGGTCAAATAAAAAAAAAAAAAGTGAAGAGAAAATCAATTAACAGGCACTCATCTAACTGAATGGCAAAAGAAAGGGATTGCTGAAAAGCTGCTTCTGTCCTGCATTGCCTCTCATAAGCATCCTAGTTTACCCTACATCTTTTTTATTTAGATCTTGTCAGCATATTAAAAGTGCAAACCTCTCACTTATCTTTGTTGATTTAACAAAGCACAAAGCATGGTTCAACAAAGACAACTTTATGTTTTATATCTAAGATTTTTTTTTAATTAACCTTCAGTTAATTGAATCATTTTATTTTTTAACGTAGCACTAACTAGCAAGCTTTATAAATTATTTTTATCATTAAAACTGACTACATAGTAGCCTATATTACTTTTACGATCACTCTGAACTGCATGTTCATGTTCTGCCCCTCAGTTCAGAGGGGCACAACTAAACTGGTTTCCACCTCTCCCACAACATCCCAACTTATTGCATGTACTATGTACTAAATAAGGGGGGGAAAAAAATTGGAAACTTTGAAGGTAAGGCCTTAAATCCTGTATTTCCTGTTGGGTGATGTAATGTTTACCTCTATAGTTATAATGGTGCTCTTTCCCAGATAAAATCTATACACGCTGTTCGCAGTTATCACCTACCTCTCACACAACGTCAGCATCCACGACGCTGTAAGCCAGAACAGGAGGATAAACACTAGCAGCACACGTGCTGGATGTTTATTCATCAGTACTTTAAGAACAAAGCGAAAGGTGAAGTTGATGTTGTTAAGCGATCCTATGCTCCTGTAGGAGGCACTCAGAAGCACTTTGCTGTGTAGTAGAATGGCTCGGTGGACCAGGTATAGGCGCAGGAACATGAGCATGGATAGCAGCAGCTCCATGTCCACTAGAGTCTTGTCATGGTGACTGGAAACACATAGTGGGGCAGCGGAGGAGGTGTTGGTGTAGAGGCCCACCTCCCAGTACGACCCGACTGGATGGATGATGCAGACCAACAGCTCCAAGGTGATCACAAGAACCCTGTGGCCTGTTATAGCTATTCTCCAGTCCACTTCTTTGTGATCAATGATGAATAGCTAAATAGAGGAAAAAACAAAGATAGAACATAATTAAAATCCAACATAACAAAAGTTCACCTGTTTAGCTCATATTCAGTCTCACTGAATATCTTCTGGTGATCCAATCCTCCAAGCAGCCATTAAATTTTTTTCATTTGGATTTATTTGTAAAATAAGCCTTTTTTTAGAACTCTCTCTGATCTAATTTTAAAAAGGGAAACTAATTATTTGTCTACATAGAACAGACTATTTGCCAACCTTGGCAACCTTTGGCATATTTTTTAAATCGCAACTAATCACAAAGATACATTATTTATCAATTCTTTAGTTGAATTCAATAAATTATAAAGAGCTATTGAAAATGGATTTTCTTTTTGAAATGAGAAAAGTAAAACAAGCTGTCATAACACAAAGAATAAACAGAGAATTAATGACAAGCAGTCAAGGTACAATGGTAAGGCAGAGTTAAAAACACTAACTAACTAAACAACCAACTAACTAAGAAAAACTGAACAAATATACCGTCGTGAAAAATCTTTCTTCTCTGGCCTGGAGGGCAAATAAACATCAATCTGAGCTTCGATGTCCAGCCAAGGTTTAATAAAAGAAAAAAGCCCTTACAATAATAGATGTTTATGACAGAAGGGGAAAGACGTCAGTGCTTTGCCACAACTCTGTTTTTTTTTTTTGCTGGTTTTATTTTAACTTTTGCTTTTGTTTAACCACAGCCCTGTTGTGGGTCTTTACTTTTTCATTGTGACTAATGAGCCCATTTTTTTTCTTCCTGTTATAAGATTACATTCTACCTCCTGTCTTATTTCATTTTTCCCTTTATTCTTGCTCTTTTTTGCATTTTTGTTGCTGTTATTTCCCTATTGTTTTGTTTCAGTCGATGCTCCATGGGCACCATTTCCGTGATTGTCCTTAGTGACACCTCTGCAATTCTTGGACAGTTTGATCTATTGACATAATCAAGGCATCCCCAAAGTCGGTCCTCGAGGGCCGCTGTCCTGTAGGTTTTAAAGTTTTCCTTGCTCCAGCACAGTTAATTTCAACTGAGAGCTGACGGGCTTTTGCTTGACTGCAATCATCATAATCAGCTGTGCTAAAGCAGGGAAACCTCTAAAACCTGCAGGACAGCGGCCCTCAAGGATCGACTTTGGGGATGCCTGACATAAACCTTGCTAAAGCTTTCAAAACACACAAAAACTGTAGTGCATTTACATGTTTATGTCTCCACCCAGAGCCTTTCCTCCCTTATCTCCTCTTCACACTCGTAGTGGTCCCCCATGTTTATCAGGCAGATGACATAACTGCTGTCAGTAAGAATAAAACCCAAATACCTGCTTAAAACCTTAGTCCTACAAAGGGATCATTTTTAATATTTAAGCTTGTTAAATGAACAAGCATGCTTTTACTGTTTAAGGACAAAGACAGAAATGTTTTCTCAGCTTAATCTCAATCAAATCCCTTCTTGTATACCGACTAAACAAACTGCGGCAGCGAGCCATGTGGACTGGAAAAACATCACAGCTCAGATGTAATGCTGCCTCATGTGGGTTTATGTTCTCATTCAGACTCTTTTTACGCATAAAGCGAATGAAGTACAGCTAAACAATGTTGAGGCTATCATCAGAGGACCAAAAGCTCCATCAAAAACAACTGTCATGAGTGATCTCAAACAAAACATTGTTTCTAACTAAGCTAATTTGGAACAAAAATGAAAAGAGAACATCATTACACAACAACAAACTAAAGGAAACAAGGAGAACTCACCCTGATGTCTTTATAATGGAATGCTATGATGAGAATTAGGAGACACCCAGTGGATAGGCTTATGGAGCAGTTGATTACCAATGAGACTTTTGAGCCCTGCAAAAAAGAATATATATCATAAATCAATCAATAAATAATAGAACAGGTGGAGATAATTTGTTTAAAAAAATAAATAAAATAAAAAACTACTCAAATTTGGATAATTATCTTAATGTTCTCCTCAGACAGTTTCTTGAAGATACTATCCAGTGGGGTATTTTCATTTTTTTTTACTAACGAACATGCAATTAATATAAAAGCATAGCTTTCCAAAGAAGTATACATTTCCACTGTATTATTACTTAAATACATAGTCCTTATAGAATTATTATTTTTTGCATGGAGCCTTGTGTTTGATAACAACGCTCCATCTGTTATGGCCGATGTCAACGTTGCGCAATAAGTTGCTAAAATATGCTGACACTGTGTTATGGGTGTGCAATGTTATTTTTGCAAAGTACCGTTTCAAATGCATTTTTGTTTTTGTTGCTAATGCAAAGCAATGTTTTCCAACCTTTTTTGACTTGTATAACCCTTTGGGCATTTTTTTGTACCTCTCAGTAAAAAGTATTGATGATTGTGAAACATGCAATAGGTCAAGGTTTGGTTGTGGTTTTTGAGGACCCAAATGCAGAGGCAGAGAGGCAGAGGTGAGTTTCTTGGAGATTTAATTAATCCACACAGGTAACGGAGGCAGGAATCCAAAATCCAACTAAAAATGTAAAACTTAACCAGAACCATGGAGACATCAGGCAAAAAGAGCACTTAGAGTCAGGGAAAGGCGAGGAGAGACAAGGTAAGACAAGGAACCAGCACTGAGAAACTGGAGAGTATTTATGGTAGACTGAATGAAGAGAGGACTAACGAGATGATTGGGAGCAGGTGTGAAGAGAGCAGTCTGAGAAGGAGCTAGGTAAAAGGAGATCAACACAAGAAGGCAACAGATAAAAACCTAAAAACTCAAATATATCCAGAAAATACAACAAAACAGGAATTAAACCAATAAAACTAGAAAACATGGAGCAAAGTAAAACATAACAGAACCAAGACCGTGACACAATAAAATAAAAACTATTTCACTTAATCTTTTAATTTTAGCATTTCATTCTTAAACATTTTTTCTTTCCATCACAAATTTGAAAAAAAACAAAAACATAAACATGTTGCCTGGAGGCTGGTAAGGAAACTAAATAAATACAACATAAAATCCTATTATAAACCTGTATTTATAAAACTGGAGCTTCTCTCTGTGTAACTCCCTTATAATCACATTTAAAATGGATGAATTAGGAACAAACCACAGAGCAAAAATTATAGTCAGACTGATTTAATTAGTCTTACTTTGTTTTCATCAAGACACCTGAGCTCCTTTGATGATCTCTGTTACCTCAGTGTAGAAAACAGCTGTTCTTCTACTTGGTTTGGATGTGTGTCAAAGCTGAAGGTGACCTCAAGACTTTTTCAATGATAAAAGCTTATTTAAATTTTCAATTGGGTCCTCACAAAGCAGAACATATCCCCTTCCTATTTTATGTTACTAGGGGTACAAGTAATCACTGATGTAGAGCATGGGCGTATTCACATAGCATGAAGTAACTTCTGCATGTATCCCCTTAAATATGTGATTTTCTAGTATGGTGGCACTGCACTTAACAACCTGTCTCTTTCAAACAGCCAATGGACAGGTATTTCTTTCTTAGTCATGATTGCCATGGTATAATTGGCACTGGTAGGGTTAACTGGTGTCTCACCAAAGTTATATTTTTTTGTGAAAATAATCTGTTATGCCATTCGACATTATTGTAGGAATGTCAAACACATCTATCAGGCCACACGGTTTTTGTAACAACTTGACTCAAAATGAATGCTAATTAACATTTGACCACTTCCATGTGTTTTAGTGATATTTCCCTTTGATTCATACAGTTCTTTTGCATACAGCTCCAATGTTTTGCAGCAGGATATAAATAAACAGCTTTAGAAGAAGGAATTTGATTTAAAAATAAGCAAATAAATAGGAAAAATGAGGGGGGAAAAACCGACTGGACCTGTTCAGAGGAGAACATGATGCAATCAGAGGTATATGGACCCTAGAGGTTTGGATTTTATACACAAAAATACCAATTTGTAAAAAAAACAAAAAAAAAAAAAAAAACTTAGTATGATCCCTCTTCATTGTTAATTGTTTTCAAAAGTCCCTTTAAAGCTATGTTGTAACGCATAAGAGTTTTCGGTAATTAATCACCCTTTTAATTTTCAACGCCATAAACTTCAGGCTTCAAACGAAATCCTCTGAAACCCAGAGTGTCTTGATCTCTTTAAAAAACTGACTAAAACAGTATATCTGCGGTTGAACTTTTGATTGATGATTATTATCTCTTTCCTTTACTTACCCTGTGGATCTGATGCAAATGGAAAAAGGTTATACAACTAAGAACTGTTAAGATTATGTTTTGAAAACCGAGGCTGCCTGTGATGGAGGCTGTTTATTTTTTTTTTCAAGACAGACAGAAAGCATGACCTAACATATGATTACTGTTAAGCTGTTTGGTGCTTCGACTGTTTGCACATGTCTGGAAAATTGTACAATTTGTAATAAAAGCCTGCGTGCCTCAGTGGCAGCATATTGCAATGTGTATCTAAAGATATCACATTCTTAGAAATGAACGTGTCAGTCGACTAAAATGGCCCATTAGCATCGTTGAAAACAATATCCTGCAAGGAGGAAATTATTAACTTCTTTCATCTGACAGTCTGGACCTACTGTTTGCTCAGGGGGAATGTAGACAAACAGAAGGAAAAGTTCTTAGAGTCCAAATCAGAAAGTTTTCCAACAAGGGATTTCAGGTCAGGAGCTTCCGAGGAAGGGGTAAACTTTATTTCAATCCAATATCCAAGAATAAGAAGATTAAGCAACATGTCAGAGAACTAAAATGTTTCAGCATTAATCTACGTAAATTACCACGAATTTCAACTATAATAAAAAGTAAAAATATGAGGACTACAAAATAAAGGAGTTTTTTTTTACCTAGACAACAACAAAAAAGCAGTTGGCAGGTTGCTTTAAAATAAGTAAATCGAAAGAGTGAATAGAATCTGTAGAGGCAGGACGAGATTTAGTGGTTTATGAGTTCTTTAGCAAGATACAATTTTAAAGACCAAGTTCAAGTTTACCTTGCATATGCAAATTATAACAAACAGTACTGATAGTTGGGTACACATTACGTTTTTTTTTTTTTTTTTTGGTCTGGCCGCCTGAATGGTGACATTATTCTATGACTTAGACTCTTCCATATACTGCAAAGAAACGTGTAACAACATCTTGACAAAAAAAGGCACTCAATAGTCTTCTCCTATTTCTAACATATTTATATTTTTTATTTTGGAGGGGAGTTTACTTAATTTGCTTTAAAACATACGGCTTTAATAGTGTATTTCTATATTACATAGAAATTTTTCAGTCACCTACAGAAATGTGTTTATAGACAAGGAAATCCATTGTCAAAGACTTGAGCCTTTACTTTGAAAATCGACTTGTAAACATTTATATACTAAAGTTTAATTTTCTTTTTAAAAAATTATAGAAAAGTTATTCATAGAAACAGCAAGTATTCTTTGAGTGATGTAGCATGTCTACACTGCAATTAGCATAGCTATGCTATGTGGAAACCCTTCACAATATAAGTATCTCTGCCAGTATAGACACCAGTAAACTTAGCTGAATCAGCAAAACATTGTTGTCAAATACACACAGCTATTTAAGAATCAGTCCTGGTGTTGTTCATAAATCATGCTCTGAAAGATGCAGCTCTGTTGTCCTTATTGTGCTATTAGATTAATCTACAGCATTGTGAAGCATTCCTAAGCACTCCTTAATAGTGATAATATTACCAAGCAGGTGAGATTAGAGACCAAGGTTTCTGGGACAGATAATATCATTTGTGCGATTAAATGGTCTCCAGGTACTGAAATCCTTCAAATACAGACAGAAAAAAAAAACATTAAATAAAGCAGGAGGATATATAAAGAAGATGTTAATAATGACTTAATGGCATGGCTGTGACTTGGCTCTCAGGTTGTGGAAAACCAAACTGGTTCTTTTACAGAACTTACTCTTGCACCAATTAGGGTTAAAAACTGGAAATTCTTTTTGTGGAAAATTCCTAATTGTTAATAAAAAGCTAAATATGAATCAAATGGAATGGAAAACCTCCAAATACATAAAAAAATAATACCATATTTAAAAAAAAACATTTTAAAAACTGATTTGTATATTATCATATTTCCTGTTCCTACTGTTTAGCTATTCTGATGGGCTGATAGAAAAATATTTTCAACAAATTATTCTGCTTTTTCTCCTCAGAGGACACAACAGGATATGTTATGATCATTGTCTTTCCACGTGAAGCTTAAGCAGGGATTTACAGTAATTGTTTCTAATGAAAAAGAAATAGATGATTGTATAATGAACTGAGGTGCTGAACCGAGCATGCTGGTAATGGAATACTTTCCACAGAAGGAAACTGTCAGCTGGAGGCACAGATGCACACACAAAGGTTCGTTTTTGCAAATTAAATGAGGAACTGAGAAGGAATTCACCGCACCATCTCATAACAGCAGGTTAAGCGCACCTTTACCCATGAGTCATGGTAAAGCAAAGAATGAAACTGGTTGTGGGATTAAAACAGGAAGTGGTTTTTTGTTTAAAAAGGAAAAATGCTAACTTGAACTTTGCTAAGACTGAGAATGTTGGTGGTAGTGTGGGATGTCCGTTGGCAAGGTAGACTGTTTTCCACTGTTTCTGCAGTAGCATCCACATTGCGTCTGTGTTTCATCCAGCACCAATTAGGAGATCCCACAAAACAGAGACAGAGACTTTAACAGCATGCATCTTGCAGAGTTTCTTCAAATGTGTCTGTAAAGTTTTCCTGATGGACTGAAGTTTTTTGATGCAAATTAGGTGTCAATCGTAAGATGAGTTAAAACACACCATTGCTTGTAGGACAAACCAGGCACATAGCTAAAAAGAAGATTAAATTGAATAATTGAACGCAAAA